GTTGACAAAGCAGCAGGCCTTCAGAAGACACATCAAACCCTGTCCCTCCTCTGTGCTGTTAGGGAGCTCAGTGCACAACAAAAGGACAGGGACTCCAGTTTCAGTCTCAGGCCATTACTAGTCTCAACAATATGGCTACAGACAGAAAAAGGCCCTCGAGGACGCTGTACGTATCACGAGTTACAAACACGAGCCGGATCAGCTCAAACCGTTCAAGACGAGATCCGTGTTTTCTGACTGTTGTGATGACAGTGTTGTGATGGATGATTGTAAATATAAAGCATAAGTCAAGGCTGCGGGTTGATGCCATCATGACACATGCACTCTAATGAGGACTGTGGGTGCTCCGCAGTGCCAGGGACTTCCCCCCAAGGCACGTTGAGTGGGGGGAATGGTATGTGATGCATACCAGATGTGATTGGAGACATCACACTGTTCACGTTGTTACTGCTAACCAAATAGTAGTAGCAGCAAAAGCAAAAGACCATTTTTCCTCTGTTCACACACTGTTCAAAGCATGATGCTGGCTGGAGCCAGAAGCAGAATAGAACATTTAAGAGGATTTTTTAAGACTTTCAGAGAGCATTGCACTTAGAATGTCTGCCTGGTTAGAAGACTTTGGAGAAGAATACGACAATGGACACAAAACAAAGTCACAGTAGCACCTCTGCCTCCCCGACTAAGCAGAGAAAATGCTTAATGCCTTACCATTTTGTAAATGTATCCTTTAAATTGTCCTTTAATTTAACCCTTTACCCAAAAACATAAACTTGGTAGCAATCATCCTCCAAAGATAAATTAAAAAAGGGCCTTGATTACCTGCAGCTCTTCTGCAGAGGTACCTATCAGTTACTTGGAGCTAGTATATATTCTGTGATTCAAGCCTCAGACCACATGATGGCAGCAAAAGAGATTCTTAAGCCAAATTTCAAATACTGGTCCAGATTTTGATGTACTGTAAGACCAGAAAAGTGATGTAATGATGGGATTTTAAAGGTTACTCTGAACATAAAGCAGAAATTCCCTCCCTAGTTTGCGCTAAAAAATGAATAAAATCAATTTCAGTTCGAAACAGGCCCATCAGCCCTTCAATCAATAGTTACACTGTCACTCACTAATTTACCCTTTTCACATGTGTACAGAATATATGTTAGGGCAGTGGTTCCCAACCCATATAGGATGAAATTCTCCCGAG